CAGGTGCGTCCCCTGGGCTTCGTTGGTGGTGGCGTCGCCCGGTGGGTGGCCGACTCCTGCGGACCAGGGTCACACGTGACGGAAGGTGGATCGAGGGAGCTTCCTGGAGGTGGGCGGTTCGAGCTAGACCCTGGAGGCAGAAACGATCGGGGCGTCCCGCCAAGGGGAGAGGGAGGAGTTCTGCAGTGCCCCGAACGCGGCCCGGGCGCGGAGAGCGGGAGGCGAGGGTGGCGGCGCCGGCCGGAGGAGCTGAGGCCTCCCGGGACGGACGGTCACTGGAGGAAGGAAGCGACCATGCCAGGGACTGCACCGGGGGGCTGTCCCCGCCACCCCCGCCCTGCGCCCCAGCTGGGGTCCCAGATGCACCGTCTGCTTCACCAGCACATTCAAAACACGCCGTGGACAGCGAGCTTTCCATCCCGTACCTAACGAGGGGGTTCTCTCCCCTTAAGGTTCATAACCTCAAAGACAAGTCGGGAGTGACACGCGAGCCTTTTGGTTTCACTTTAAGAGCGACGAGACGTTGAGCCACAAGAGGGCCGGCCCCGCCGTTGTGCCGCTGACCCTGGCGGGCGGCGGGCGCAAAGGTCCAGCTCGGGGCTTGCGGCCCCTCTGGGACGTTGCACTTGTGACCCACGGCCTCTGTGCTCCGGGCGTGGGCCTGGGGGTGCGCGCCAGCGTCCCAGGGTGTGACCACGCCGCCCCTTCGAGGACCAAAATGCCATCTCAAGCCTCCCGAGGCCGCCTGGACACCCTGCCCCCACCATGTCTGCTGCTGCCCGGCTGCCCGCGAGGGTTTCCACCTCTGATGTACGTCATCCTCCTGGTTCCTTCTGCAGGGGACACCGAAGGGACAGGAGGAAGGAAAGCTTTTAAAAGTGGAAAGCTGTCTTTAAACATAGATTCTAAAATGCCCGACAGAAACAAACCAACCCACAGTCTGTGCCCCGTTAGAAGAAGGAGGTGGAGCCGCTAGTTTAGGCCTGTTTTGGGCCGTCTCTGCGGGAAGACAAGGCTGTGACCCACTGACCTCAGCGTTGTCCCCCAGGGGCATGGCTCTGGGAGGCGGAGGGCGTGGGAGCTGCATCCTGGGCTCCACGGGCCCAGGGCGCATCTCGGGGTTTCTTACTTCTGCCTCCACTCCCCGGGCTGCCTGGGAGGAGGACGGCACCGTGGGGTGCCCGCACGTCAGGCCTGGCTGTCCCCGGAGGACACTCAGTGAGGCCCAGTGGCCCTCGTGTGAGTCCAGCCTTTAGATCCACCATTCCACCATAGACCTGTGGTTTGGTTTGGTTTGGTTTGGTTTGGTTTGGTTTGAAGAAGTGAGAGCTTGACCCCAGGGTTGCACGTCTATTGTCCATTCTTTCCCAGGGGATTTCATCGCTTTTGACCAGAACACGACATGCTCGTGGGTGATTTGCCCAAGGACTGACTGCTCCATGGGAGGGGGGTCAGTAGTCACCCCTTCTCGTTTCCCCTGCTCTTCCAGAACCTTCTAGAGACATCACAGAGTTTTCAGGTCCCCACAGTCAGAATTGGTGTCTTGGGTTGTGTGGGAAATTGAAGAATTGGCTTTGGGAAGGGTCACTCATCACCCTGATGTCGTTCGCGAAGCGGGATCGTACTTAGCTTCGTTGGTCTGCAAGAGAATTTAGGCTGTGTATTTCCTAGTTTTGAGACAATGGCTTTTTACTTCATATAGTTTTTGTGGCGAGAGTGTTTGCAGAATTAAAAAGTCTGTGAGACCCATTCCTCTTTTGGAAATTGGTCCTTTCCTGCTGTGTTTATTCAAAACGAGCACTTTCCAAACAGCTGCGGTGTGCCTGAGAAAGCTGCCGCCGCTGAGCGGTGCGGGTCCAGCTCCGGGCTTTCCCACCAAACACGGGAGAAAGCTGCCGGCGCCCCTGCCGGCAGAGGGGCCAGGCCCTCGAGCCGGGTGGCCGCTGAGCAGGTGGACCTGGGGCCGGCCGCCTCCCCGTCTCAGGGCCGGCCGCGGCTTTACTTACAAGCGGCCGGCGCACGGCCCCGCTATGACAGGGGCGCGGCTCCTGCCGGGCTCAACAGGCCATGTCTGCGCCTCAAGTGGGGGCTCAGCATCCTTGCCGCCCGATGTGATGGATTTTATTACAAGAAGAAACGGAGAAGGAAACACCATGGGGTTTGGGGCGCTGGCAGGCACCATCCGTCGGCCAAAGGCGGGGGCCAGGCTCCGGCCAGAGCCCGGGGCGCCCCCTTTTTTTGAGGCGTGTGAGCAGTCGTCTTTTTAGGAGTTACTTTCTGATACTCAAGTAGTTAATTTTATCAGTGGCATATTCGATGATGTTGAGGGGTTTTGGAAACTTTTTTAAAAATGACAGCGGTCCCCCTTTTCCAGCAGGGTGGCCCCAGTCAGGTCAGGAATTCTGAGAAGCAGGGTGTTGGCTCTGGAGTGTGACTGTGGGTCCCTTGCCCCGTGGCCCTGGGCCCAGCCGCCAGCTCTCCATCCCCAGCGCCTGGGATGCTGTGCAGTCACGCCTGCCTGCCAGGCGTTTGTGGGCAGAACACCTTCAGCGGGGCCTGGAACCTGGACATCCAACAGATGCTGAAGCCTTACGTTTAAATGTGCTGTAAGGGAAACATGGTATCAGAGATGCCCCGTTTCTGGTCACCTGCGAAGAAGGGTCAGGGCTGCTGCTGTCCATCCTGCCCAGGCAGCCGGGGCTCCGAGTCCACCCTGGAGGCCGGAGGGCACGGCCCACGACTGGAGGGGGGGAGAATGGGGCAGGCTGGGGGCTGCCCGAGGTCTCTGGGCAGCGCCCTTGGTGGGGCGCAGGGCTGTCCCGGCTCACGCCCCAGGCTCGTTTCCACGCAGACCCGTCCGTGCGCACCCTCCGCGGGGTCTCCGGTGCAGCCCCTGGTCCCGGCGTTGGGGGAGGGCGCATCGGAGTCAGGCCCGGAAAACAGTTGCCCACGAGGCTGGGCCCACCTGCCACCAGCTCCCCGGCCGCCCAGCGGTGCCAGAGGATCCGCTGTAAGCAGAGAGCACTCGTTTCCATTTAGTTTTGGGTTCTGTTCCTTTTTTTAATGTATCTTCCAGGTGAACACATCCTTGGGCTGGGGGTAGGACGTGTGGACCCCGACTCGTGTGGTGCGTGGCCGCCGTGGGCCGCGACGGTGAGTTCGCCAGCAGTGGGGCGGCGGGAGCCACGGGGCCGCTTCTGTGCTGGGAAACCTGCGTTTCTCTGGGCGGCTTGTCGTCTTCCTTCCCGTGCAGCCCAGGCAGCAGGGCCCCGGGAGAGCGTTCGGGTCTGTTCGCCGCCTGCGGGGCGCTTTCTCAGATAACCTGAGGGCTTTTCGGCGCTTTAGGGTCAGAAGGGGGGTCCGTGGTGTCCAAGTGATGGACTGGCGTCCATCGGCGGTGTCCGGGAACAGGGCTCTGGCCTTCGGGGACCAGCACATTTTGAGGAATCGCGTTGGTTTGCACAGTTTGTCTCGAAGTGTGATGTGTCGGTCTGGACACGGGGAGACTGGCTGGGTGTGCTGCTCTTGGAAATTCGCCTGCGCTGTGGCCTTTCTCGTGAAAGTTCCGGCTGAACCTTAGACTGAGAGCGATGTGGGCGGGGACAGACCTCGGCCAGGAGCGCCGGCCCCAAGCACGCACATCTCCTCGTTCCGGAAGGCTGTGTTCGCGCCGCGACCCCTTCGTCACAGAGAGCCTGTGGCGGTGCTTCGTGGGGACACGTTTAAGGAAACAGCGCTGTGTTCCTGTTTCGGGCGGTCCTTACGCATTATTGGACCCAAGTCCCTAGTGGGCCGTGAGATAGTGACCTGTGGGGATATGGGAAATGCCCCCAAGGTCTAGGCCAGGCCTCCGCTGCAGGAGCTGCGCTTCCCTTTCAAACAGATTTAAAGGAAGATGCGCTTCAGGTGTAGCTACTTCCACTGTTGCCTCGTAGCGGCCAAATTTGGTCCACGGCCTCTGCTGCAGTCTTAAAATTGCCAGTTCTAGCCCTGGCCAGTGTGGCTCAGTGGGTTGCGCGTCATCCTGCAAAACCAGAGCTCACCGGTTTGTTCCAGTCAGGGCCTGGGCTGCGGGCCGCTCGGACACCGGCGTCCCTCTCCCTGTCTCCTTCCCGCCCACTCTCTAAAACACAGACATACAGCCTTTAAAATGGGAACGTCCAGGTCACGCACACACACAGCCGGCATTTTTTGTTCTCTGGTCGTCAGTAGTAAGGGGCCTGCATTTTTTGGGAACAGGGTAAGACTCCCCCTTGGCGGGGAGCTTGCAATGCGCCAAATTTGTCGCCACGGGGCCACCCTGGAGCTGGGGCTCCGTGCTGGCCTGTTTCTCGGGGCGCCTCATGTTCTGGGACCGCGTGAAATTTTGGTCTCTTTACCCTGCCTGCCTGTTCCCATTTAATTTGTTCTTAGCCGAGTGCAGTGGATTAACATTTCATCGGGGAGGATTGAGATTGAATCGACATTAAAGCCGTCTTTCTGCTGTTTCCCTTCTGTCCCTGTGAAGCGGCGGGGACAGGGGGGCAGGCCCCTCGGCGGGGGCGGGCGGGGGGGCGCTCATCCGCAGAGTGCCCTGTGAGGACGAGGGAGATAAGCTGGACCTTCCGTGTGAAAAGAATTCCCACTCGCAGGCCGGGAGGCCTGGATGGAACCGGGGCGGCCCGTCCGTCTGGAGATGTCACATGGAACAAAAGCTTTAGGGTTTTATTTAGCTCCTAATCCTCAGGGCCTGCGCCATGTGAGCGCAGCGGGCGGGGCCGGGCTTGGCAGCCTCCCTCCGGAGCTGAGAAGAAAAGGCCCGTCCACTGCTGTGGGGGGGAGGCGAGGTCCCTGCGAGCGCTTTGTCTGCTAAGGTTTCGAGGATTAATAATTCAGGCCGTCCTCTGCAATAGGAAACCCGCCGTTGGTTGTCCGCGCCGGCTTGGGAGGCCCCCGCACAGCCCGGCCGGTTTTGATGTGTGTGGCTGAAGATCCATAGGGAAGGACCTCCGCCTGTGCCCATGCCGGTGCCCAGCAGGCATGTCGGCATCGGGCGCTCTCAGAGCTGGGACGCCGCCGGCTGGTGCGAGGACCCCTGGGCGGCGGCCGAGGCTCCGGGCCGCAGCGGCCCCCTGGCAGGTGGAGGCCGCGAGGGGCCCTGGTACGAGCCCGCGCCCGATGTCTGCCATGGGGTCTTCTACAGCGCGGTGGCCGGCAGGAAGAGCTCTGTCCCCGACTTCACCTTTTACGACAGCAGGCAGGCGGTGATGGCCACGCGCGGCACCCTGCTACCGCAGGGTTACTACGGCGACCCATCTGGAGCCGCGCAGGTGCCCAGAGAGCCGCGCCAGCACCGGGACCCCGCAGCTGGCCGCTCCCTGGCCGGCTGCGGCGTGCTTGGCACCAGGGTGACGTGGGAGCAAGTGCAAGGCCGGGCCCCTGCCCTGCGGGATGCCGCCCACCTGTGCCGGGACCCTGCAGGTAAAATGACGGCTTCAGGGCAGCGGGCGCAGAGCGGGGCCTCGTCGCCCTCGCGCCACGCCGGCGAGCCAGCCCACGGCAGGTACCGGGCAGAGGCGGCAGGCTATGCCGCTGGCCAGGTCTACAGCGACATCGGTGTTGGTGAGAGGCCCGTGGACCCCGCCCCCGCCAGGCAGGCGGCCCCCACGTGCCTGGTCGTGGACCCCACTAACGCCGCTGCCTTGGAAGATGGCCCGGGGACGGTGCCGGGCGCCCTGAGTCGCGGCTACGGGCAGGAGAGCGTCCCCACCAAGATGGCCCATGAGAGCTGCGAGGCTGACCTGTCCTGCTTCCAGGAGCCCAGCAGCACGAGCGGCGTGCGGCCCGAGTTCCTGGCGCTGCTGCGGGCCGAGGGTGTGGCGGAGGCCACGCTGGTGGCCCTGCTGCGGCAGGGCTTCGACTCCCCCGCCGTCCTGGCCACCATGGAGGACGCAGACATCAAGTGCGTCGCGCCCAACCTGGGCCAGGCCCGCGTCCTGGGCCGCCTGGCCAGCAGCTGCCGGGCCGAGATGCAGCTGCGGAGGCAGGGCCAGGCGGCGCCCCCACCCCGGGCCCGCTCCAGCAGCTTCAGTCACCGCGACGAGCTCCTCGGCGACTGGTCCTCCCTGGGCGCCCCAGGCCTCCCGCCCCAGGCCCTGGGTCCCCTGCAGGCGGCCCCCACCCGAGCCGGGGACCTGGCGCGCCGCCCCTCCAGCGCCCCCTCCCAGCACCTGCTGGAGCCGGCAGCCACCTACTCTGCCCCAGGGTCGGGTGCCCACGCCCCTCCCTTCCCCTCCAACTCCGGGTACAGCTCTCCCGCCCCGTGCGCCCTGACCGTGCGGCTGGGCGCTCCGTATCCCCCGCAGGCGGGGGTGGCCCTGACCAACCCGGGCCCCAGGACGGCCTACTCCACGGCCTACACGGTGCCCATGGAGCTGCTAAAGCGGGAGCGGGCCCTGGCTGGCCCCCCCGGCGGCGCCCAGCTCCTGCAGAAGTCCAGCGTGTCCGCCGAGCCGCCCGCCCTGCCGCCAGCCAGCCAGAGCCTCCACATGCCTCACGCGCCCTATCAGAAGGTGGCCCGGCGGACGGGGGCCCCCATCATCGTGTCCACCATGCTCGCCCCGGAACCAAGTAACGCTCCCTCCCCGCCCTGCCTCCCTGGGTATGCTGAGGGGACAGGCAGGAAGGCAGGAGTCTGAGCGCGGGGCGGCTGGTCCTGGCGTTCTTGGTGTTCTCAGGCCAAGCCCAGAGAGATCCAACACACACAACACGGCAGCGTGGCCAGCTCCCAGCCTAGCCCATTGACACGGGGACCCGTGGGGACCGCGCGGCCGTCCGCTTCTCTCGTTGAGCTCAGGTCGATGTGTGGTTTCCCTTTACAATCATGAAGCATGGCTCTGTGTTAGGGAGGATGGAGGACAGACCAACGCCATCAGCTCCTCAGGGGTGGCTGCGGAGGGGTCAGGCCCTGTCCGGCACCGCCTGCCACACACCCCCCCACCCCCCGCCCTAGGCTGTGCGCCGTGGCGTGGAAGCGTGCCGCTGAACGGCCTGCGCTGTGTCAGAGGCAGGGCCGACGAAGCAAGAGGCTGGGGTCCTTAGAACACCCTCTCCCAGGAACAGTGAGCCTGGCACACTGGGGGGTGGGGGGGAGCGGTTCTGCCTCCCTGTGGGGAGGCTGTGTGTCCAGGCTGAGGAGCAGACAAGGGGCCTGGATGTTTCTGCGTGATTTCTGGTGCACACCCCCTTGGGCGTGCTGGGGCGCTCCCCGGCGGGCCCCTCGGAGCCCCACTTAGAGTTTTTGTTTATTCTTGGATGGTGTTGAGGTGTGAATTTGTCTCCTTTTCTTTACTCTTGCCTCCCCAGCATAATTTTTAAAAATCAAATGTTTTTTTATATTATTCCTGAATAACGCTTACTAGAGGGTAAAGATGGTGGTGTGGAAATCAGGGTGCAAACACCCGTCACAAAGCGGTGGGTGGGGCCGGGGGCCCGACCGAGCGGCCGGGAGGCGCTGCCTTGGGCTTCGCTCTCACGTTGGGGAGCTGGTGCCATGTTGGCCCCCGACAGACAGAAACAGTGGTTGATCCTGCGCAGGTTGATCTCCAGGCCCTTCGTGTGTTTCCAGAGGGAGACAGTGACTGGCTGGATTTTTCTGCTGTTTCTCACTGTTGATTCTGGGTTTCGTTTCATGTACGGATGTGTTTTAAGTCTGATCAGTTTACTTGCCTCTCCCCCCCACCCCCCGCGTGACGGCAGAGAAGTCGGACAGTTTCCGCAGGCCTGTGCTCCCGCCTCCCGGTCAAGCATTCCTTCTTTGCAACCAACTAATTTGCATGGCACTGACATTTGTGGCTCCAGTAATTTCATCTGATAATGGCCGGGCCTGCAAAGCGGATCTGAAAACATATTCCTTAATTACGTGTTGCTAAGCAACGGGAGGGTTTGGTCACAATCACAGAAAGATTATCTCCTTGTTGAAGTCCTGGAAAGGTTTGCTGAAGGAGGACCTGTTAAATTGCCTTATTTTCTCCTTTCTCTGTTAATTTTGCACCGTCTTCTAACAAAAATATTCTCTGTCGTCTGGGGTGGAGGGAGGGGTGTCATTTAAGTAGCCTGGTGGGTGCTCCTTAGCGCGGTTCTGCGGCCCAGAGGGTCATTGATGGCTTCCTCTGCGTGGAGGTCAGAAGTCGGAAGTCGGCCAGCATGTACATTTCCCTGTCAAAGCATCTCAGCTGAGCTGTCCCTGTCCTTCAGGGTCTCACTGGGACCCTCCCGTGACCCTCCCGTAAAGCGGTGTGGTGGGGCGGGGGCGCGGTAGCAGCGGCGCTCACTTCCCGGGGACGTGCAGCCGGTGCAAGTGGCGTTTTGCATGGCAGGCCTGGAATCAGCAGCCAGATGTGGGTCTGCTGGAACCTACCCGCCGGCAGGCTCCTGGGGAGACCCTTTGCCCCGAGAGGACAGCATTTCCACTGTACGGACGCCCCACAGGCCTCCAGTCCAGAGCCTGGAACCTCGCGCAGGCCATGCCCCCCGCCCCCGCCTCCCCAGGAGGCAGCGGCGGCGGCAAGGCCTTTACTTGCGCCTCCAGCCTGAGCGAACTTAGCCTTGGTCTCCGCCTGCTTCCTTCTCGCCTGGGGCGGGGGGCGGGGCGGGGAGCCGGCCGGCCCCGGGCAGAGGCAGCCTGTGCTCACCATGGGTGGGCGGTTTGTGTCCCCGGCCTGGTTGCGTTCATGTGCGCTTTTGGTGTTCTCACGTGTGTGTTTGTCGGGGGCCGTGAACCACCTGCCTCATCAGGCTGGCTTTCTTGGTCTAAACAACGGGCACCGGCCATCGGGGGCGGAGGGGCCCGCGGGAGGCCCAGCGCCTGGCAGGTCTGCCGCCCGCGCGCTGACCTGCTCCCGGGGCGCGAGCCGCAGAGCCTCCCGGCTGTGGCTGTCACGGGCGAGGCGCCCTCCCCCTCGCCGCATGGTATCAGCCACGGCCGAGGGTTTGCTGCCGCCGCCGAGCCCTCCCTGTGGCGGATGCGTGCAAACAGCAGTGCTGCGGCCATTTTCCTAGTTTGGTCCCAAAACATGGCCGAGCCCAGGCTGCGGAGGGCCCGGGGCTCAGGCCCAGGAGTGAGCAGCACGGCCCTCGCCCCCTCTCCCTCAGGGCACCCCCTTCCCTTCCAGCCAGCATGCGGGGTGCAGCTCAGACCCCGCTCCAGTCACCGGGGGCTGCAAGGTTGTCTGTGGCCCCTTTACTGAGGGGCTTTGACCCGCTAGTGGCTGCCACGATGTCCGGTCACCAGAGTGGGCCACCTCGCGGCCTTGTTTGGTGTGGCTGCAGGAAGTCCCCCAGCGGAGCCCTTAGTCCCATCAGAGTGGAGGGCGGCTCCTGTCGAGGCTGCGTGCGCCTGGAGGCTCCGCCTGCGTCCTTAGCTTCTGAAGAGGCTGTAAACAGGGGCGGGAGGGGGTGCCCACAGTTCATTGGTCTCCAGGGTGATGACCCTCCCCTCACACTCCCAGGCTGGAGCCAGGACGGAGCAGCGGGCACCCCCTCCCCCACTCCCTCAGCAGAAGCAGCCTGAAAAGCGTGGGCCTGACCAACTCTCCCTTCTCAGTCACAGGGACATTTGGGCACAGGGGTGAGGCACACACGGGCCTCTGGGAGCCTGGCACACCTGGGCGGTGCCTAGCGGGAAGGCTGGGCACGGCGCGGGCACCAGAGCCACCGCCCGGCCAGCACCTGGGGGTGGGGGTGGCTGCCGCTCTGCGGCCCCCGGGCCATCTCCCAGGTGTTACCTGCAGAGAGGACACTGACCTCCGTGCTCGAGAAGTTCCTGCCTCGTGGGACAGGAACTAGAATGGGCCCCAGGGCCACCAGCAGGGCTGTCCCTGCGCTGGCCAGTCCCCCGCGCTGGCCAGGGCCCGTTCTTCTGCAGAGCCGCCCTCCTCTCTGGGCTGGGGTGGAGCCGCGCACCTCCGGGGGCCGGCAGCCAGCCTTTCCGGGTCGAGTGCTCCCCTGCCCCTGGCCTCTGCATTTGAGGCCCCGGCTGTGGCTGTTCCCCGCCCTCGGGGCCCCCTCGATCCCTGCCCTCCGCCATGGGAGCTCACTGGCTCGGGTGTGGTTTCCAGCCATCGCCTCTCCCAAAGAGGGATAATGGTCTCTCGCCCCTCAGCGCCTGGGAGAGCCGGCACCTTGGCCGTGTCCTCCTCCCAGACTGGACTCGGCCTGATCTTGGCATTGCCGTTCGTTCTTGTAGCTGGTTGTACTGGTGGTACTGGGCTGACTATGGGTTCCTCAGTTCCCTTCCTGGGCTCCTGGACAAGCCATGGAGCCAGAAGTAGGATTTCGACCCGTGAAGTAGTTGGAGGCGTGGCATGGATGTACACAGTCTGCTGTGTGTCTTTGGGCAAGTGCATTAGGTTCTCTGCTCCTGTTTCCACATGTGTTGAGCAAGGGTAGCGGTGAAACAGGCCTCGCAGGCTACAGGAATGCAGCGGCCGCGGAGGAAAGAACAGTGGGAGTGTGAAGATCCGGAAGCCGCCTTGGCCTTGGCCTTGGCCTTGGCCACAGGCTGGCCCGCTTTGGAATGGTGCTTCTTTTACATTGTCGTTCTTTCGGGCACCTCTCAGGCCGGGAGGCAGTGTGCTGGGCTGTGGGGCTAGTCCCTGGCTGTGTCCCTCGAAGCAGCCTCCTCTGGCCTCCTGGGTGGGGAGGTGGCGGCTCTGTCCGTGCCAGACAGGCAGCCGCCGGCAGAGGGACAAAGGGCCGCCCGATGGGGCTCTCACAGACCCGGGTGTCTGGGAATTTCTGTGAACCCAGCTCTTGCCCAGCACGGCTCCCACAGCTCAGACCCCTCTGCAGGGGTGCGTGTCGGTGACCCAACGAGGAGCGTGGTCTGGGGAGTCGCGGGGGGACTTATGTTTGAACCCCAGTCCTTGGCTGAAGAGGCTGGGAAGCCCCACCCCTTCCCTGTGAAATGGGTCCCTGGCCGGGGGGCGGGGGGCGCGGCGGAGGATGCTGCGCGCTCCGCGCATTTTCCTCGTTTCCCCCCTGCCCAGCCGGCCCCGGGAGGGCAGTGAAGGAGGGCGGCCCGTGCTCTGCCCTCCTGTGCGTTGCTTTAAAGGAACTGGGAGCCGATCCCCCTGCGGTGGGACACTGGCTGGCCCGGCACGTTCCTGTCCCCAGCCCCCTCGCGTGTGTCCCGAGGGGGCCCGAGTCTCCCAGCACAAGCCGGCTGTGTCTGCTCTCTGGGGGTGTTTGGGTGACTCATAGTTTTGTGTTTCATCGTAGTATCGTTTTCCGCCCTCCGCAGCGCAGGTCAGGTTCTCCTGGAAGGTTTGCAGGGCCCAAGGGCACAGGCGCCGACCGGCTCCCCGCCCACCCCGTGACGTTCTCACGGGGCCCTGCTCTTGAGCGTCTGGTGCCAGGATTCATTCAGCTTCGCGGGCCTGGTGCGTGGCCCGGGTCTTCTGTGGAAGCCAGACTGGGAGTCCTTCCTGGTTCTTGGTATTAGATGCATGATTTGCAAATGTTGTCCCTTTTTTTTTTCCTTTTTTTTTTTTTTTTTTTAATCTTTTCAGGTTCTTGATAGTGTCCATGAAACACAGAATCTTTCATTTTAATGAAGTCCAGTTAATTGT